TTTTGCCAATCTAGAGAAACTTAGCTTCGCAACAACAAAGACAAAGCCTTCATTTATTATTGCCAATTAAATCAATGCTTAATTCTTTCTGGAATTTTTTCGAGGAAATAAAGTGTTTAAGAATTTACTCATAATTTTTAATAGAGATATTTTGAGTTTTTATGTATTTTTGCCTTCTCGCGAAGTGAGAACTGAATTAATTGAAGGAGAGAATACTCAATCATCTGTGAGAAACTGTTTCTTTTTTGTTTTGTTTGCTTAATTTCTTTTAACATCATTCTAGCTTTATTATAGTATTTTAATAGAACATGTGGCAACGATTAGATAATCTAGTCTTTAAATGATATAAATTTTGTGCATTATGAGTTATAATAAGAAACGAAACGAAATATAATACTGTTAAGTGAATCTAGCGCCAGAGTGTCGCTATGGTAAACAAAAGTGAATTTTAAAGAATGCATTTATTCTATGTGGTTTATGCGCTGTCGGCGAAGTAGTAGATTTAATTTAATCCATAAGTTAAATGAAATGCAAGAAAAAATGTGTATAATTTAATATTCCGTACAAGGAAGTCATGTAGTTTACACATCAGATTTTAATATAGATATTTTGAAGTTTTATGTATTTTTGCCTTGTTGCAAAGTGAGAACTGAAATAATTGAATGAGAAATAATGAATCGTCTGTTAAAAAACTGTTTCTTTTTTGGTTTGTTTGCTTAATTTCTTTTATACATCGCTTTAGATTTATTATAGTACTTGATAAGAACATGTGGCAACGTTTAGATAATTCTTCAAAAGATATAAATTTTGTGCATTCTGAGTTATAATATGATTCTTCCGATTTCTAAGTTATAATATTATCCGTTTCTCCTTAGAGAGATTACCATGTCAGTAAACTCTTATCGTCATGCGCCTTTTAGGCTTCATTCTCCCTGAGCCGGCAAAATTACACGTTTGTGTAATAGTTCCGCCGATATGTTTATAAGTTGAAGTTATAATATGAACGAAATGTAACGCTGTTAAGTGAACCTAGTGCCAGAGTGTCACTATTGTAAACAAATATAGTGAATTTTAAAGAATGCATTTATTCTATTGTGGTTTATGCCCTATCGAGGAAGTAGATTTAATTCAATCCAATAAGTTTAAATGAAATGCAAGAAAAAATGCATATAATTTAATATTCCGTACAAGGAAGTCATGTGATGTACACATCAGATTTTTTAGATTTATTATCCGATTAGAACTGGATAATTTAAAGATTCATTGGTTTCTTCTACATGCTCCATAATATTAGACAAAGTCATGAATTACTAGATATAATGCAGGGAATTATAAAACAATTGAATCTATATTGTTCAAACAGATGTAAATTTAGAACTTGCAGATAATGCATTCAAGAAAGATAACGCTCCAGATGTTTTAAACTACTGTGCCTTCGAGACTACTGGCATTAAATACCCAGAAGACCTTGCACAAAAAAATAGGACAGTTCTGTATCTCCCATTCTACTGAATCAATCGTCGAAATTTAATTTGCGTTTTCCAGGTCTCTAAGCGCGACTTCGGATGTATATTAGATTTATATACAGCATTGTTCTAACATAGGTATTTTGACACAAAATTGGACTTTTTCTGAAATAACATACCAATTTTTTTTTTTCCGTATTTTTTCCGTAAAATTTGTATTTTAAATAATTTTTCTAATTTTTTCAAAAACGCTTTTGGATTATAACCTATAAAATTTTTACCATCATCTTAAAGTAGATGTATTTCTAAACATACCTGCAAAAAATTGGAGTATTTTATTCAAATTTCCTAAGATATACGTAAGTTTACATTTTGGCGTGTTTTGAAATTTGGCATATTTTTTATAAGTGACAATAACGCCAAATGTGGTTTACACACGTTGTTAAAATTATTTGAAAGTATGAACGATGACCTTTTTTTCCGCTCGTGTGCAATGAAAAAAGGAAAATAAGTTGCTATAAATTTGGAAGTTCGCCGAGTGTATTATTCTTTGCGCAAACCGAAAAAATAAAATTTTAAATTTCTCCATAAATTTCTCATCAAAACTTAAAAAATTTTATATCTAGGAATAATTTGAGTCGCAATATTGAAGTATGGAAAATATTGGTAAGTTATTTCAGAAAAGGTCCAGTTTTGTATCAAAGTACCTATGTTAGAATAATGCTATATATAAATCTAATATATATCCTAAATCGCGAGTTTAAGACATGAAAAACGCAAGTTAAATTTCGACAATAGGTCCACTAGAAAGAAAAATATAGAACTGTATTTTTTGGGGGGGGGCAAGGTGTACATATACCAGGACGCGTTTCTATGCAGGGATGATTTCTTCCCATTTCAAAAGTCCTAAAACTACCTTGGAGTAAAAACGGGACATTATTTCCTAAAATTCAAAATATTAATGTAATGCACATACGTATACACACACACGCAAAATTTTAAACATTTTGCGAAATGAAAATTATATTCTTTAATTTACCAAATATTAATTTACATTTTGCTAAATCCTCTCACAAAGTTTTTTACTTTTTTCGGTTTCTCAGCATTTTTAGAAATAATTGCCAAGTTTAGCTTAATTTTGAGCGACGGGGTTAATTCCGAAAAGCGATACGTTAATATTGTTAGCACCAAGTTGTCGGCTGAGCAGGATATGTCAGTGATTCACTTGTGCAGCAAGGTCTCTTGGACTTCGTGTAGACTTTCCTGCCCCAAGGGGATTAGTAACAACAACATTTATTAACAAGTAAAGATCAATAAGCCATTTTGATGTAGACAATGACTTTCTATTTAAACCTTCAGGTATTAAGATTAAAGTCTACAATATGTGTATAAACAGCTGTGGAAGTTAACAGATGAAGAACAAATAACAGAAAGAGAATAGTTCATGGAATATAAAGAATTTTGGCATAGGTGGACCGATTCAATAAAAACCTAAAGTTGGACTTGAGTAGGGCCTTGGATGAAATAGCCTAATCCAAAAATTACACATGTTTTTTTGTTTAATGAGAATAAATAATATTTCAGTCTTCACATCACCTAAGCTGCCACGGTTCAAGGATGCTCTATATTCTAACATAATATCACCTTTGAAACTAAATATACTAACTATAAACTAATATAAATAGTGGATCCAAATATAATAATATCCTAAATATAAATAGTGGATTCAAGGAAGGAAGCTTTTGTCAATATTGGTTAATTCTGTTCTCCACCCTTTTTTTAAAAAAAAAAAAAACGCCTGAACAACAATAAAGTTTACAATATCAGATTTTGGGGGGAAGGGCTCTTTGTTTTGTTTGTCTGTATCTGTTAGATGGTGATTTAACCTCACTCATCAGAATGACAAAATTATTATTCAACTACGTTTATTAACGAGCTAATTATTTACAGACACTAATACAAATGTTGTACACTCGTAAATAATTTTGGCCAAATTATATGTAGAACTGTAGTAACTTTTGTATAAAGTCATATGAGTTGCCTCAAGAGACGAAGCTTTGCCGGAAAAAAAAAAAAAAAAAAAAAAAAAAAAAAAAAGATAGATGGTCAAGTCTTGACATAGAGGGTCAACATTGAGGCTGTAAATCTCTAAATCTCCAATCTTTCTAAATCGGCGATATATAATCAAGCTAATTTTGAGTGACTAATTTTCGTCACCAAATTTGGCGAAAAATCGCCAATAGTCATCAGTTTTCACGACTATTTTGCGACATTTTGATTCGGACCCTGTATAACTGTAATTAGTTCTATAACTGAATAACTATAATTGATCCCTATTTGCAACTGTTACCGTATCCGGCCCTTATAGCTAACTTTAACTGTATATGTCTTCCAGTAATTTCGAGAAATAGGACGCACTCAAAATTTCTCGTCCCCCGGGCGAAAACTATATAAAACCGGAGAGAGGGTTAGCCCTCAGTTTTTCAGCTCAGAGTAGTTCAGTAGTAGTTCGGAATATCGAGAAAGCGTAGTGCAAGCTTCACTCTTTGTATGCGTATTGCCCTACGTTGTGCTTAACACAGTAGTTTAAAGTGGTAACTTCTGATTGTGCTTTGTTATAGTGAGAACAGCTGTAGAATTTTTTTTTTTTTTTTTTTTTTTTTTTAAATTCGAAAACTATAAAGTACCTGGTTTGGAAAAAATAAATTCTATCAGGGTATTTATCCGTTCCGTTTGCGTTCAATCAATTATGAGCCCGTACGCAAGCAATAAGTTTTGGTGTCAGAAATGGAATTGAATGCCGGTGGCATAAGCGATGGAAACAACTGTTGGAGCGATGGAGACAAGAGCGAACTGAGACAACTGTTGACCAAACTGAAAGAAGAAATGCAAGCGGGCTAAGAAGAGATGAAAGCGAGCCTAGAAAGACTAAAGCAGGCCAGCGGGAAATAAAAAGAAAAATTTCTACCATAATAGGAAAGAATTTCGAGGCTGTTAAAGGCAGAACAGACATGGTTGAAGGTAAAATTGGAGAAATTCCAAGAACGAATTTTAGCTGTCCAACAAACACAATCGTCCTATGACAGCAAGTTTAGGAAATTTTTTTAGCCTTTTCTTTTTTTGTGCTTCTACATGTAAATACAGAACAAATTTCGATGGAGAGAGGGAGATCTTTTTAAATACTTTGAAAGAACTATTGGGTTTAAACCACAAATTTGGCAATGTTGTTTCGCTCTCTGATTCGCATGCAGAAGTCCAAACCATTAACTCATTAGAGATTTTAAATAAACTGAAAATCTCCAATATCGAGAATTCTTCGATATTTGGGAGAAAAGTAAAGGAGTTGTGTTACGGATAATTTATGGACAATGCAATATTTCTTGAAAAGAAAAGACGAACAAACCGAGATAACTCTAAATTGCTGTAATCAGCATACTCTGAGATGCTTATCATTCAAGTAAACTGAATTAACATTCAGTTTACTTGAATGATAAGTTTACAAACATATATTAATAAAGCACATTTTCATGATAGAATCAAAATAAAGCAATGAAGATGCGAAGATCTTTGGATATTCCTGTACACCATGACGAGAAGTTGCGGTCTCAATTCCGGTTATTGATGATCTATGATTTTCTTCATTACAGAGTCCATCTGCATCATTGTGAGGCGTTCTAGTGACGCTAGTCACTTAATGACGAGCTGGAGATCTTCTAAAGCCATGACTTAGGTAACTTATTAATTTATTGTAATTCTATTGTTGTGGTAAAACATTGATGATTTCTAATTATATATATTTCAATCGGAAATAGTAACAAAATTCTTACGTACACTAAAGTCTGCATTAAGAATAAAACCTAACAGTCACACTGAAATTTCGTAATAATGTATAGATGATAAACTCTTTACACATATTATATATATGTAAAGACATTTTTTATATATATGTAATATATTATTATATGTAAGAGAGATTTTTTATATATATGAAATATAATATATATGTAAGAGATTTTTATATCTAGTACGTAAAGAGATATTATGATATAAAGAGATTTTTATATATATGTACTATATTATATATGTAAGAAGCTATTATATCTATCGTTAGAGATTTTATATAAAATCTCTAATATATTATGTTTATGATTAATAAAACATTATGTATAATAGAATTACATTATATGTAATGTTTATTATACATAAACATAATATATTAGAGACATAAACATAATATATTAGAGATTGTTATATAGATTATGTTTTATATATATATAATAGAATATATTATATATAAACATAATGTTTATATATAATATATTCTCCAATATATTATCTAATATATTATGTTTATGTAAAGATATATTTAAACATCGTTCAAATGGTAATCCACTTCTTTAATATTTTTATATCAATAAAGAAACAAATTCCATAATCTTATTCCGAACTGAAATTCTTTCTGAGTGGAATTTTACTTTTACTTAGCAATATAAATACTGTCCAGTTTTGAAAAGCCACAACAGATACTAACATTCACTGTTTACCCTGTATTCGAATCCAGACAAGGAATCCATGAGCTCGCATTGACCGTTCATATTGTTCTAGGTGAATAAAGTTCTCAGATTTAATTGTTTTAGGAATGGTGGCTGAACGGATATTAAGGCTCACTGGCTCGAATTTCATGCTGCCCACGGAACTATTACAAAAATCCAACATTCACCACTTCAAGCCCACAAGCTGAAGCCGGGATGAAATATCAACTTTTCTGAATAATGCGGATCTCTAGGATATATGCTCCTGCTTACGAAAATTGCAACAAAATGAATAAATCATAAATATGAACTAAATTTTATAAAAAGGGAAAAGGATTACATTTTTTTTCAAGTATCAGATTATTAAATTATGATTTATAATGACCGAAATGACATATTTTCTAAAGAATTTCGAAATTAATTTTTATCATAAAATGATAAAGTCATATACACTTTGGAATAACATGTCAAAAGAAATGATTTTAATCCTAAATTTTATTCATATAACTTATTATTGAACTGATAAACAGTTCACAATAAACTCTCTATTTAATGGATTAATTGAAAGAACGGATGCCTGTAAAATCAGAAGTCCATTAAAGCATGACCTGTGCTATGAATAATATTTGAGAATTATATACACTTAAAATTGTGGTGTATACTGTGGTGTAAATGTAAAATATCTAATATTCTTACCATATGTCTAATATTGGTTTTCTACTTACGAATGAGTTTCCTTAAAGTGAAAAAAAGCTTCAAGTTTCGGTTGCTTTCTTACAACTACATTCTCTACGTCGTTCAAACTCCGTTAAACCTAACGCCCGTTAATTCGAGGTCCGTTGAATTAAATAATCATTTTACTGTATTTGCATTTTTTGGTTATATCTGTAAAATTTAATTAAAATTTATAGCAAATTTAACATAAAGGCTTTCCCCTTTTCACAATTTCTTTAAAAAAATAAGTGGTTTAAAATGCGTAAGGAAAAAAATCATAAAATTTTCACCAAATACGTCATATGAAATATAATTTGCATCACTGACATCTACTACGCTGAAAAATAATCGAGGTCCGTTGAATTAAGTAATCATTTTACTGTATTTGCATTTTTTGGTTATATCTGTAAAATTTAATTAAAATTTATAGCAAATTTAACATAAAGGCTTTCCCCTTTTCACAATTTCTTTAAAAAAATAAGTGGTTTAAAATGCGTAAGGAAAAAAATCATAAAATTTTCACCAAATACGTCATATGAAATATAATTTTCATCACTGACATCTACTACGCTGAAAAATAATCGAGGAGACTTCCATAACAGATTTTGTTGCCTCCAGTTTTATAACTCGGGTTCAGGCGAATAAACTGTCAGCGTTAATGACCACTAGTGAAATGCTAGACCTAGTAAAAGCTAAGAATAAAGAATAGTCCTTGGTGTAAGAAAAAAGTTTACACAAATAACACATTCGGCAAAAAGAAGTCGGAAATCAGTATTATTACTTGTCAAGGGCAGAGGTGGGGAATAAATTTACCAATCTTTCACAAAAACTTTCACATTTAGAAGGGATTTCGTTTTTCTACCTTTGGCTTCACCGAAACTCTGGAATTTACAATTTTGATTTTTTTATTATTATTATTATTATTATTATTTCATTTTACCTTAAAAGCATTATCAGATAAGAAAACGTAGAATTTTTTGGGTGGAACATGAGGTTCTATTTGCCGAACGGGTAGCGAGCGAAGCGAAAACCGGATTAGGAATTTCTTTTTTTCTTTTATTCTTTTCCTCGAACCCGAAAAGAAACGGGACAGCTACTGCATGAGCAAATACGATAAACGGGAATACGACTAGTTGTGCGTTAAAATAAAAATGTTCCTTCCGGTTCTTCAGGAAATTATTTTCTTGACGTCCATACCCTTTTATTCTGCGAAGAAGCAAAGAAGATAAAAATGATTTTCTGAGGCAGAAGTTTTATCGCTTTTATAGACACTTTCTGAATGAAAATTTTTTAACGTCCACCGTCAAATAACTTCTGAACTTAAAACTCCCCCCCCCCATGAAAAACATTTTAAATTATTTTCTTTTAAAAAAAATTTTAGTTCCATTTATCAGACTTATGTGCTTTTGTGTTACTAAACAAACAAACAAAAAACTTAAAGATAATTAACGTTAAATAGAAAGTTAATTATGCCAGAAAATGCGTTACATTTCTGACACACATGTATACATAATACAAAAGCAATTTACGAAATATCATAATACATAAAGATGGGTTCCCAAAGTGTTGAAGCGCGACTCGGATGACCAGAAGACAATTTTTTAATGGGTCGCAACTTTTTTTTTTTTCTTTTATGTGTGTATACATAGATGCTTTTGATCTCTTTTCATAACATTTTGTGTTCCTTTTGATTAATGCTGTTCATTAAATACAGTAGAATTTTGAATTGGTTAAAGACTAAGTTTTGGTTACCTCTTTAAAGATTTAAATCTTGAAAGATTATTTTCTATTATTTACATGGAATTTCGCTTTTGCTTGGGATGTATTATATTATTTACTTCTCTCTTTATTGATTACTACTGATTATTTAAAATTTGTTTTGAAATGATTACTTAATGAATGATACATATCACTTACAATTTTTTTCTAACCTTTTAATATCCTGTTGGTTACATATTTGGGACTGCAGAATACACTTGATATTATTATTATTCTTTCTTCTACTTAACGTTTCATTAAGGCAGTCTTCGAGTGACTGAAATAATAACAGCACTGAGCGCTGATAATTCGACCGCAGTTAAAATTTTTTTAAATGTACTGCTTGCATGGCCGTTGATATCGGAATATATCCCTCGATTAAAGTGAATACCAGCCAGTTTCTCATACAAAGTCCTCCACGAAAGCATTTTTCACCTTAGACAGGTAATCTTGACTTTCTTTGGCATTATCAAGTAATATAAATCCAATCTAATCAATCAGTGGTCTGCGACTCCAGGAGCAGCATTTTTAAAGATTCTCGAAGCACATTTTCCTTTTCTCTTATGGAGAAAAATCGGAATTGGGAAGAATTATAAAATAATTTGAGTCATTTTAAATTAATAATCTTGGTCTGGTGTGCCTAAACTAAATTGTCTTATTTTTATTCTGTCTTATTTCATTTTATTTTTTGGTAAGCATGCCTACTTGTTTTCCAAAGTTTAACTCTTTATTGATCCATAACAACGATTATTTTTGTATTCTAAAGCCTTAGATTTGACTGCAGTTTTTATCGCAATTGGGATATTATTCCTTATTTATGATTTTTTTCACACCTTCGTTTCATATAATATATACTTATTCGAATACGCTTGTGTGTGCACTCACAACGTACGCGTGTATGTTTGTATGTGTGTATATGTATGTATCTTTGTGTGGATGTATGTTTGTACTCGTGAATATTTGTTTGTATGTATGTGCACTCACAATGTATGCACATACTCACAATGTATGTTTGTGTGTGCACTTAATGCAGTGGTGCAATTTCAATTTTTCGTAGTAGCTCTTAATAATTTTTTTTTTTTTTCATATTTGATTATTGCCGCTTTCTAAAAAAACTAACCTATTTATAATTAATCTTCTTGAAGTATGTATTTCAAAATTAATGAAAATGATACGTTTCTTATGCACAGCAGCGTACTTCCATAACAGCAAAAATGAAATTGAGATACACGCCTGCTCAATTAAACAACAAAGGCAAAATACAGAATAAAACAAAAATTGTTCAATGGATATGCAATGAAATTGATCCAAGAGGTTGGTGGGGTATTATTTAATCACATACCAAGCAATAAAGGAAAGACATACAAAAGTGCATATACTACGACCATCGCATCGCGAAAGACCAAATGGGTCGGAAGAACAAACATCACGCTAATACCACGTCGCTAATAACGGGAATGAAACCCTCTAGTTTTTATTGGTTCTCAACCTTTTCACTAACGCCTAACCATATCTTACAATGATTATTTTTCAATTTGTCAATAGAAAGATTAAAAATAAATAAATAAATAAAAAAATCTGAAAGTTTTCAAATTTTATGCCCAAAGGGGCGTTTTTTTTAAACGTTTCGTGTGTTACCTTTATTTATTAAATATCATGTTCTTCGCACTTAAATTCAATTCAACAGCAATATTTCAGAACAATTTTAAAATGAGCGTATATTCAG